CCCTAGTGGTTGGACCAGTTTGCACTCCCACCAACAGTGCAGAAGAGTTCCTTTTTCTCCACATCCTCGCCAACATTTGTTGTTGCTAGTTTTTTTAATATGTGCCATTCTCACTGGTGTGAGATGGTATCTCATGGTAGTTTTGATTTGCATTTCCCTGATTGCAAGTGATGTTGAACATTTTTTCATATGTCTGTTGGCCATTTGCATTTCCTCTTCAGAGAAGTTTCTTTTTAGCTCTTCTGCCCATTTTTTGACTGGATTATTTTCTTTGTTGTTGCTGAGTCTCATCAGCTCTTTGCAGATTTTTGTGATCAGTCCTTTATCATTAGTGTTGGGGTGCAAAATGTTCTCCCAGTTGGTGGGGTTTCTCTTTGTTTTGGTTATTGTCTCTTTTGCTGTGCAGAAGCTCTTTAATTTGATGTAGTCCCAGCTGTTTATCTTTGTCTTCACTATCACTGCTTTGGGTGATGTGTCTGTAAAGATGTCTTTGATGTGCAAATCCCGTAGTGTTAGAAACTATAATCTTTGCCTCTCCTGTATTGTTTACTAATTGTATTAGAGTTCCTTTTCATTAAAGTCTCATATGGTTTGTGTTGATGTGGTGGATGGCAGAACATATTTAGAGCAAGCAGGTTTGCAGAGTCTGGGGTGCCCCTCTCCCTGTTAGGTAACAATACCAAACAGAACACTTTCATTTTCTGTCTCATCCTAGAACTGAAAACCTGATTATTTCAGTGGAGGTTCCATAATAGACAAGAAATATGGTGATATCAAAATTTGTTCATCTGTGTTAGTTCAACAGTGAGCCTATTTCTAGGTAAGCTTGCAAACCATACAAGGTCAGAAGCATCATAAATGAAGAGGGTGCTAAGGCTCAAGGAAAAGAAAGAAAGAAAAAAACACTGGGGGGCCTCCCCAGTGGCTCAGCGGTTGAGTGCTGGGCTGCGAACCTGCCTGCAGCCTCTGCAGCACCGGTTCAATCCCCGGCCACCGGCGAGGGTACCACATGGTGCACAGACATGCCCGCTGCTCCCCTCAGCAGGGTATTTTGTCCGTCTGCCCGTTCTGTTCCCCGCTCTGGCTCTGGTGAATCCTCCCACCCTCCCGCGCTTCTGACTGTACACAGTGCTTGCATAAATAAATAAATAAATCTTAAAAAAAAAAAACACTGGGAATAGCAAGAGTCATATGAGGAACCAAAGAATGCCAACAATATTTAAATCCCATTTTTTAAAAAGGGAATTTTATTTTTTGCTAAAAAGCTACCCTATAAATGAATTTTGTCAACTGTCAATGACAGTAAGTCACTAATACATAGCAGATGACTATTGCAATGTCTATCCGTGACCTTTATTGTTTTTGACAGGGTGACTTTCAAAGTAGCAATGATAGCAACAAATGTTGTAGTCTCAACCCATTTGAGCAATGTTGAAATGGAATTGTGTACCGACCCACAAAATGGACATCCTCATCAACATTTCCACCCAAGACGTAAAGACACTCGAGTCTTCCCCATTTATCTTAGAATTTTCAGATTGCCACCATCTTTGGAGGAAAAATGGGCTATTTACCTGTATCTCACTTTGAATTTCCACACCGTTATGATGCAGCAAGATCATTGGGTGGGTGTCGCCACCATGAGTCCTGTCCTCCTTTGTCAGGGCTCTCCTAAGACTTGGAGTGAAGTCCCGACCTGGGCCACAGGTGCGTGAAGGTCTGATCGCTGTTGTGCTTTGAGCGCTCTGAGCAGAGGACTCAATGGAACAAGGTAAAAATGCACCATGGTCCACCCAGGAGCTCGCTCAGCAGCTGTGTCCATCACACCATGGGTCCCGCTGGAGCTGGTCGCTGCCTGCGACGGAAGCTGCACAGACTCTCTGAGCACCTTCATCCTCCCTGTAGCCAGAAGCTCCACCCTGGGGGTGCAATAACCACACCATCTCCTCACTGGCCAAAAGGGATTAGCGCCTGCCTGGCCGTGTCATGCCAGGTATCGAGGCCCCTAACAGTTGAGAGAGAGGTGGGTAGGGTTGCTCCAGCACTTCCCCCCTCCCCAAAAGATGCCAGGTCTATGCTTCCACCTACACTGAATAAGGAGAGAGAGGAGCTGACTGGCAGGGGCACCAAGACTACCCCCTCTGCTGAAATGGAAGGTTCTAGGCTCAGGCAGGCCCAGGGAGTGTAGGCTTTTCTTTTTGTGGCTCCAATACCTAAGCCACAGTTTCCTCATCTGTACAAAGGAAAGTATCTCCTCAACTCTAGAGGTGGACACGACCCCTTCACCTGTTGTTGCCAAGTGCCCACTGTCTTCTAGATGCCTAGGACACGAGCTGAGCCCAGCCCACAGCTCAGGACACCCACGAGCAGTTGGGGACACAGGGAACTTCAACAGACACACAAGAATTGTGATGGGACATTTGAGATGCCACAATCTTCCCTGGAAGGGGCACCTGACAACACACTCCTGGCCAAGGGGGCATCATGCAGGGCTCCTACAGAATGACCCTTGAAGTGGAATTGGTCAGGTGAATGGGTTGGGGGAGAGAGAAGGAGGTTGTCAGAGAGGGGCCACAGGCCTGAGACAACAGGAGCAGATGGCAAGACTCTCGTAAGCTTATCTGGAGGCTTGGATGTTAGCCTGAGTGAGGACATGGGAGTCACTGAAGAGCTCTTTGAGGCGGTAAATAAATGACGTGACCCACAGGTTTTCTTGTGAGGGCAGCGAGGACCGAGGGAAGGACGGCAGACAGCCCTTGGGAAACATTCTGTTCCTCCCTTTCCTCTCCCCAGCCAGGTAAAGATAGGAGGACGTGAACCAACCCACCCAGTTCAGCAGCGATGTGCCCTTGCTCTCCAGGTAAATTCAGACCCCAGGCCCAGCTTCAGAAAGGACCATCCAAGGATGAGTGGGTCTGGCCCTGCCTTGTCCAGCAGCAGGTGATCAGCTCACAATCAAGGATTGTGGATTTTATGGACACATGTGACCAGAGACGTGGTTCTATCTTTATTATCAACTTCATGTTTTCCAGTTTCACGCTTTGAATTTCCTGTCCTTGATTCCTTTATAAAGCATAGTGGCACTATCCTGCAATTAAGTCACTTGAGTGCAACGTTTTCTCAGGTGGCATCATGAAGCAGATGACAAAAGGACAATCTCACTTAGTATTCTCACTCAGCAGAAAGGTGGAAGAATATCCTAACATTATACGATCAATAACTGTTCATCGATTGTATGATAAAATGCCTTTGCCTTTGAATCTGAAATATTCCTTCTTCATCTCTAGAAAACAGACCTACTTTTTCTTTTAAGAAATTACAGAAAATAGGGGCTCCCCTGGTGGTGCAGCAGTTGAGCGCCGGGCTACAAAGCTACCCGCAGCCTCTGCAGCACTGGTTTGATCCCCAGCCACCGGAGAGGGTCCCACATGGCACAACAGACCTCTCCTGTCTTGCCCGCTGCTCCCCTCAGCAGTGTATTTTCATCAGTCTGCCTGTTCTGTTCCCTGCCCTGGCTCTGATGAATTCTCTCAGCCTCCTGTGCTTCTGACTGTACCCAGTGCTTGTATAAATAAATAAATAAATCTTTTTTTAAAAATAAAAAAAGAAATTGTAGAAAATAACACCTATGTTTTTTATTAATACTCTGTTTCATGAATGTTCCATAATTGGAAAAGAGTAGCATATCTAGGTGGGACTTTCTATTTTGTATGCAATTGCCAGATTCAATGCAATTCCAATAAAAATTACAATGGTGTTCTTCAATGAAATGGAGCCAATACTGTTCAAATTCATATGGGATCATAAAACCTCTAGTAGTGAACATTCTTCTGACTAAAAGGGGGGAAGAATGGAGGTATTACACTCACTGACATCAAACAATACTGTTAGGGGGAAAAGATGTCCTGAGAAAACTCCATACAGGTTTTGTGGACTCCACCCCCACTCCAGACCAAAGCCATCAAGATACTGGGAATGACAAATCCCATCATCACCAAAGGGAGGATTGCTGGGACCTAAGAGTGGAGTTAAGCAGCCAGGTTTGGTATAAAACCAGACATGTGGGCCTTGGCTCTCTCTCTCTCTCTTAGCCTCATAGCTCTTGGCTTTTCACCAGCTCTCAGTGTGCCATTGGGATTCCAGGTCAATGGAACTGGTAGAACACATTCACAAATTTTCTCCCTCTTTTTGTAAATAAACCTTTTATTAACCTTGTGTGTGTGCCTGCAGTTGAGTATTAATAAGTCCATTTTAAGCACGCAGGTGAGGAACCACAGGCAACCCATTTCATGTCGGGGTTGCCCTGTAACAATACTACAAAGCTATTATAATAAAACCAGTATTGGAACAAAAACAGACACAGAGACCAATGGAATCTAATTTAAAGCCCAGAAATAAAACCACACTTCTATGACACAGGAGCAAGGAACAAGAATAGCCTCTTCAATAAATGGTGCTGGAAAACTGGATTGCAACATGCAAAATAATAAAACTAGCCCACTATCTCACACCATACACAAACCAACTCAAGTGGATAAAAGACTTGAATGTGAAACCTGGCATCATAGACTATATAGAAGGGAATATAGGCAAACACTCAATGACACAATCCTCAGAAACATCTTTGAGGATTCTTCTCCAGAAGCAAGGAAAACAAAGGAGAATGTAAACAGTTGGGGACACATAAACCTAATAATCTTCAGAACAGCAAGAGACAGTGATCAAAACAAAGAGACACCCCGCTGAACGGGAGAAAATATTTGCAAACCATATGATATATAAGGGACTGATATCAAAAATTTACAAAGAGCTTACACAACTCAAAACAA